CCAGACGGGGGGCGGGCCACGGCGAGGCTGCGATCCGGGCGGTAGATGGAGACTTTCTGCCCAAGGTCTCTATCACCCTCCCTGGACACCCCGCCACGGAGGCGATTACTTCGCTCTTACAGAATAGATTTTGGCCTCGAGTCAAGAAGAGCTCTTGCTTCCCAGCTAAATGATGGCAAATCAATTTGAGGTCTCGGCTGGAGCTGCTGATTGAGGCTGGCAACCAGGGGGCCTCGGGCTGTCAGAACCACAGTGGGGCTCTGCTGGGCCTGGGGGGAAAGGGGCAGCCTTGAGGGCCAAGAGCCCAGCCTTCTCTCGAGGGGCAGGGAGGCCTAGGTGGGGTTGCCATCCAGGTGTGCAAGTACAATCTCTGTTTATTCAGAGTAGTAATATTAATACAATTATTCATTATTTCTTAAGAATTTGCTGTATGCTGGGCACTTCGATACGTTCGTCGCAATAACTGGGCAGTGCAGGTGCTATTATCTCTATATGGAGGCCTTAAGAGGGGAAATAATGTGCTCAAGGTCACGTGACTTCAGCGTAACAAGTCTATCTTGGGACCAGGTCTGTCTGGAAAAAACCCAGGCGTTTGCTCATGGTGCTCTGTGGGAAGTTGGTGTGCGTGTCTGGGCCCCCAGCTCCGGTGAGCATGCCCGCCTCGGGTCTGAAGAGCAGTGCTTAGCCCGCGTGTGACCACGGGGAGGCCCCTGGGGAAGGGCTTGCTGAAGACAGAAAGGAATGGAGAGACGTTTGCTGAGTGGACGGATGAGTGAAGGAGCGTTTGCTGACTAGGGGCTGTAGGTGGGCTGAGCCATGCATCGTGAGGTAGGTGGCGTCCTGGACAGTCCCCACCCTCTCAGCCATCTTCCCTGCTGGTACGCATGCCCACCAGAGCACCCTCCCACCCGGCATCAGAGCTGGTCTGTGCGGCTAGTGGAACACTGCAGGAGCGATGATGGTGTGTGACTTCTGAGGCTAAACCATGGAGGACACTGCAGCTTCCACCTTGCTCTCTTGGGTTACTCATCTGGGGGAGGCTGGCTGCCATCCTGTGGGGACACTCAAGCCCTCCAGAGAAGCCGTCCTGGGCAGGGAGTGTCCTGCCACCAGTCAGAACTAGCTTGCCAGCGATGTGACCATGCCATCATGGAGGTGGGTCCTCGAGCCTTCAGATGAGACGGAGGCCCCAGCCAACACCTTGACAGCAACCTCACGAGGCACCCCGAGCCAGAACTCCCCGGCCCAGCCACTCCAGAATTCCCAACCCTCAGAAACTGTGAGAGAAACAAAGGGCTGTTGGTTCAAGCCACTGAATTTGGGGGTCATTTGTGAGGCACTGACATAACTAATACATATTCCTGAGTCTGTTGAATTGAAGGGAGCTTCCTGGAAGACAGTCCTTTCTGTCCGCCTCCTCACTTGTGACCCCTGCTTCCCAGTGCAGTGGAAAGACACGAGACGGATTTGGTTTTAAATGCAAGCTTCCCAATGTACTGTTTGGGTGACTTGAGGGTTTTTACTGAAATGAATTCTTCTCCTTATCCTTTTCACGCCTTCTCCCGCCTTTCCTCTACTGATCAGTCTTGCCATAGTAATTGTAGCATTTCATAGGGGTGGCTGTCATTTTTTAAGTACCTACTATGTGCCAGGCACTGTGCTAGGGTGTCTACAGACCTAATTTTATTTATTTTCCTCACCATCTCTGGTGGTGGTGATGGTGGAGTTAGGCATTATTACACTTGTTTATTTATTTTTTTTAGAAAGATAAGGAAATCAAAGCTCTGAGCAGATGTATCATCTGCCCGAGACCAGACAGAGTCTGGAGTCGCAGCCCATTCATCAGAAAACCAAAGCCTATGTTCATTCCCATGGTGCACCTCTACTTCTGAGCCTCGGTGTTCTCACATGCAAAATGGGCATCGTGCTGACCTCACAGATGAGCAGAGGCAGTGCTTTTAAAGCAACCAGCCTTCTGGTTGGCACGTTGCAGAGGCTTAGTAAGCAGAGGTTCCCTTGCCCTCCCTCCTTAACACCTTACCCACCCCTCCCTGAACTTTAAGGTGGGCTGTTTGGGTCCTCACATAGACAGGGTCATGCCAAGCGCCTCCCACTAGAAGAACGTTAGGGAGGTGATGTGGCTGGAGCTGGAGACCACTGGGCCTGCCCCAGGATGGGGTGGGTGCCCTGGGCCTGGAGCTCAAGCAAATGGTGACATCAGTGCTGGCCCCACCCATGGAACCTGTGCCACCTCTGTGCTTGGAGTGGGAAGTGCCAGCCAGAGCTCACACAGAGAGGAAGGAAGAGCCTGCTTCATCCCCGGGACGGCGCCCCGGAGAGGCCGGAGTGCAGAGATGGCTCTGGCTGGAGGATCCCAGCTGAGGCAACATTGTCCTTGGGGGGCATCAAATCATCTCTCAGATCAAGCAAAAAGCCCCAATTAATTACAAGTGCTAAGTGAGTGGTCTGGAAGTAGGGTTTTGCAGTCAATTAAAGGGATGCCGGAGGAGGCTTCATTAACCCCCTGCTTCCTGTTAGCTTTCCGTGTAGGAGAAAGCAAGGACCTGTCTGACCCCAAAGGGCTCCCTCACACTGGGGAATGCGGGCAGGGAGTGTGTCTGCCAAAGATGGCGCAGGAGGGATTCCTGGGGTGCATGGGATGATGGATTTGACTCGGAATCCCCTTCCCATTCCAGGTTTCTTGATTTCCTGTGCTTTGGTCCTTGTCTGCCTAATGGGGGCAGGAGGCAGTTGGCCAGACAAAGTGCGGTTTGTGCTTCTCCCGCCTTTCCCCGTGCAGGAGCCGACTGCCTACTGCTCTCTCCCCAGGAGCCCCCCACCGGGTCGTCATTTCCCTCCAGGACTGTCTCCCACTGTTGTTCCAGATCTTGGAGCCACTGAGATGGACACACAGGCTTTGGCCTTGACCCCCCATTACTGTTCCCCACATCCAGTCCTCAAGTCCTGCCAGTTTGCTCTCCTATGTCCCTCTAATCTGCCTACTCCGCCCTGTCCCGCTGCCGCTGCCTGAGCTACGGCCTCACCATCTCTGACACTGGCCTCGCACCAGCTCGTCCCTGGGCTCCTGGCTTCTGCAGCTCACGTCCAGTTCGTCTCCCTTAATCTGCACATCAGACATTGTCCCACCTCTGCACAAGACCCTTCACCGACTCCCCAGCGCCTGCGGGTGAAGTGCACGCTCCATCTGCTGGCACCTGGTTGACACCCCAGGCTCTCAGCTCTTCACCAAACACTCGGAGTCCCTGCAGTGGTCCCCCACTTCTTCACTCACGTCAGGCCACTTTTGTCTCCTCCAGGCCTTTGTTCAGGCCAGTGCCCCTCTGCCCGGAGTGCCTGCCTTCTCCTGGGGTGGACTCCTCCCTTCGCACACTGAGCTCCCCCGACTCAGAGTCCAGGGGACCTGACGCTCGGTGTCCTCACCTGGGGCCATGGGAAGATCTGGGAGAACAGGCAGGAGCTGTGACATTAGGGGACAGAAGAGGGAGGGGTCGGGTTCTACCTGCACATGCCCACTGTACAGGAGGTGCAGGGAGCTGAAGGCAAATTGACCGGCCACCAAATAAGTGACATAGAGATCGATTGCTCAGGCCCCAAGTCAGCATTCGGGTCCTGGGATGTCAACCAGGGTGCCAGGGGGTGGGTGGTGCTGTAGGCGACACTCTGAGGGGTGCTGGAAGGCCTCGGGGCACCAGCCATTCCTCTCTGATAGTGCGCCCAAGCTGGGGAGAGAGACACGTGCAGGGGCGTAGAATTTGCAAAGCGCCGCTCCTTGAATGCTTGCCACTCGGCACTAAGAGTGTGGACACAGGACCCCACTGAGTCCTCACGACTGCAGCGGTCGGAACAGTTACTATCGTTATCCCCTTATGCTCGCAGGCGAACACTCGGAGGGATGAAGTGCCTTGTTCAAGACACTCTGCCAGGTGAGAGCACCCACCCGCCAGCCCGGCACCGTGGGGCATCCAGCTGCGATGCCCTGCGTTGTGTGAGCGGCCAGCAAACTCTGCTGTGGTCAGCGGGACAGAGGTGGTGTCAGGCTGGGTCTTGAGACTTTAGAGGAGTGTACCAGGGAGGGGAAGGGTACTACTGTTCACTGCAGGCAGAGGGGACAGAATGTGTGAACAGGAAACGGCGTGGTACGCGTGTGCATGCTTGGAGCACAGAGCCGGGTGTGGGTCTGAGCCAGCAGGTTGGGGTCACGCCACACGGAGCCACTCTGACAGTGCCGATGTTCTCCTGTAGCCCTAATAGGTGCTGGGCAGCAGAGCGACGTGGTTAAGTTCGAGTTGTTTTGGCGGGCTTTCTAGTCAGGGCCAGTGGTGGGGAGAGGATGAGTGGGAAGGAAGGGGCAGAAGCTGAGAGACCGGTGTGGGGGTGGGGAGGCGCCCAGCCAGGCGGAGAGAAGATAAGGCCTTGCTTACGCCGGGTGGTGGTGGAGGGCGGCTGGGGGGTAGGGAGGGGCCTGGTCTGGTCCTGAGTCCACGGCAAGGCCTGGCAAGTGTGTGTCTGGGAGCCACGCTGAGCGGTGTCTATTCTGTGTCCCCAGCCTCCTGCTGCTGGCAGAGTGGGGGCTCCATCAGCGTTGGTGGGATAACTAGTGAGACACCTGGTCCGCCCGTGTGACTTGGCTCTATGCCAGATGTCACACCCAAGGAGCTCGGGGTGGCCAGAGATGGGGTGTGCGGCGTTGTGACTAAGCTGGGCCACCGGCTCCTGAGGTTGTACAGTGGCTTTGAAGGGTGGGGGGTGCGTGGCCCCGAATCTCGGGGGCCAGCCCTGCCTGTAGTCTTGGTTGATATCTGGGATCATTTCCACAGTGGCGCAGCCAGGAGCAAGGGTCACATGGAGGTTTGCTGTGGCCTCTTGAGCTCTGTGTGGGGCGGGCCCTCGTGTCAGCTGGCGTCCTGCGTAGCGTGGTGGGTGGTTCCGACGGACAGAAGAGGACAGGCAGAGCGAGAGCTGCTGTACAAGGTCTTTGTTGTCACGGTTGGGTTGGTACATGTTAGCGTCTGCGTCATACAAAGGGGGAGCAACAGCCATGGCTTTTGGTCAGGTTCAGGGGGGCATGAGGGGTGCCCCTCCCCTCCCCCAGGCACTGACACATTTAAAGGAAGCAGAGCAACAAGGACACAGCACAGATGTGGAAAAAGGACACCCCCGCGTGAGCAGGGTGGTCATCCTCACCCGGGGCCTCACTGGGACCCCCGCCCACACCCCAGGGCCAGCACAGGCTCCTCCCACCTCTCCTCCAAGAAGACTTACAGAGAGGGGGCAGGGGACACATGGCGGGAGGTTTGTCCTCAGGCCTGGGAGATGTCCCCTCATCTGAGCCAGTTGGCCCCAGACCCCCTGTGCAGTCAAGGGCCTGTGGGACCCTGGAAGGATGGAGCAGGTGGGTGGTGGGGGTCAGCAGCCCTTAGGGGCTCTTAGGGCTGGTGGTCTGTCTCCTTTCACTCTAGCCACCAGCCTTTGGCGTGGCTTCTTTGCCCCATGATGGCCTTGCGCTGAAATACTTCTGCTCTCTGCCTCTCTTTCCCCTCTCCTTCCTCTCTCTCTCTCCCTTTCCTCACTCCCTTCCTTCTTTCCTTTCTAGCTACACACACACCCACACATCCTGGGAGGGTCTCTTGACTTCCTGTTTGCTTCTGGAGGAGACCACACGCAGCTTTGCTGGTAAGGACACCCTCCAGGTGCTCCCGGACCTGGAGTGGAGGACGTCCACGTGCAGGCACCCTCGCCTGTCTCAAGTGCCCAGTGCGGCATATCCAGAGAGGCCCGGTCCCTTCTCTCTGGTAGTGACCTTCCAGGCACACACGTCTTGCCTTCTTTGGCAAGACGTGTACCCACCTTGGGCAGTGCACACTCCCTTGCATTTCACCCTGTTCTCACCATTGACGATGACTGCTCTTCCTATTTCCCTGGCTGAGGGATGTCTCCCATATACGTTGCGTGTGGTGCTGATTCTGGGGCCTCTCCCTCCCTACCCCTGCCTCCGTAGTATGTCACAGGCACACTGTCCTATTCGCGTGTGACAAACTCATCCCCCTCCCATCTAGCAGGCCACACACACCTCCTGCCCCTGGCACATCATATGATTATCCCCACCCTGCTAGAGTCCCACCCCCATGTTTGTCCCCGCTGTGAGTGTGCTGCACATCAGCTGCTCTCCAGAGGCAGGTCTGTGTCAGGAATGATAGTCCTCATGTTCCCCTGGACCGGAGAGTGATCATCTGGCAGTGGTTAGAGCCAGGTATGCCCCAGGCTGAAATTCTCCCCCTGCTCTTGCCTCCAGGAAGCCCTCCAGTCCTGCTGCTTGGAGCAGGCTGTAGGGGTCTGGAGAATCTGGGAAGTACACCAGACTAAGCCAGCCATCCTGGGGGGCACTTTCATATGGGAAAAGCCCCGAGGACACAGGAGGCTTCAGGGAGCACAAGGGACACCCTCTGAGGGTTCAGGGGCCCTCAGACCCACCTGGGATATCTGGTATGGCTGGGTTCCCCTGCTTATCTGAAGCTGCCTAGGCCTCAGTCTCTGCTGTTCATCTTCCATGCTCTGTGCCTTGGCCCCACCTTCAAAGGCTTTGGGCCCCTGTCAAGGGGGCTGAACACTGGGGATCCACCTTGTCCAGTGGGGCTCACACACAGGGCCTGGGGAGGCCCGGGGCTCCTGGGCTGGGCCCTGCCTATCTCTGCTCCAGGACCCCAGGCTCTCGAGAATGACCATTCTGCCCAGGAAAACGGACGTGAACAGACAAGCAGACAAAAGGGGTGCAAGGTGGCTCCCCATCACAGACGCAGGCACAGACAGACATCGGCCCCATGGGGGGCAGGACACAGGGGCACAGGGGAAGGGGCGGGGGTGGGGGAGAAGGGCAAGTCCAGGGAGCTGGGGCTGCCGAAGCCCTGCTCCCCAGAGAAGGGACAGACCAAGGGACTTTTCTGGTTCCCTAAACATATGGATTGTTTTGTCTCGTTTTTAAAGTATTGCAGTCTAACTGATATGGCTTTAACTATTGGAAACGGACAGAGAAGACACATGTCTCTCTCTGAAATAAAAGCATAAGTCCACTAAAATGGAAAACCTGCAGAATGCAAACTGGGGCCAATGGGGCAGGGCATCAGGGGCAGGCAAGTCGCCCCTTCCCTGGCCCCTGCTTTGGGGGTAGGCCCTGGCTGGGGCCCAGCATGGCTTCTTGGGGCTCTGCCTGAGTTTGTCCCCGCAGACTTCTGAAAACCTCAGGCAGAAGCCCTCCAAGGGTGGGAGGAACTCTAGGCCAAGGACAAGGTCTCCTGTTGGATGTGGCTACTTGTGACAAGCGGTTTTGGAGCTGAGAGGGGCACCTCACCCATACTCCTGCTCCCCAAGACCACGCGGTACACAATGCTGCCTTTTCAGAGCCACACCGATGCACACAACAGCTGTGGCATGTCCAACAACTCTCAAACACACCTTTCCACAACCTCTAACACATACCCATCACTCCCGACACACATGCTGTTCTGAAGACCCATGTAAAAAACAGCAAGCATGAGCAAGCTCTCCCACATGTATGAGATGGCTAGCACACACATGTGGTGCGATCTCAACGCATACATACCACCTCAAACACACACACACACATGCACAGACTGCCCAGCAAGCACAGTCTCTAACACAGGGACACGATGGCTAACACACTCACAAATCTCAAGACACACACAAGCTTGAGACCGTACACCTGTATGTACCGTCTCTGCACCCATAACTGCTGGCACGGTCTCTGCCATGCACGCCCACGCCTACACGGACATACACTTCCCCTGTCATTGCTCCGTGGCCATCCAGGTCTTACTCAAGTAACTGAGCAAGAGGCCTCGATTTGGGGTGGGAGACAAACACCAGTCTCACACATCCCAGAGGAGAGTTTGTTCTTGGCCGATGAGATGAATGGACAGATGCCTTCTTCTGTCAAGTGGGGACTGGCTTCTCCCCAAAGGCTTGGGGCTTTAGCCAGGAAGGGTCCTCCAGAGGACCATGGGGTCCTGGAAGCACATGGACAGGACAAGGTGAGGAAGAGGGGTGGAGAGGAATGGGGGCAGCTTGGCTGCACCAATGGGGGGGTCCCATGGCATGGGCCATTGCTGCCCAATGGCTCCAAGTGTTTTCTGGGGGGCCTGGACAGCCCCTTGGCTGGGCAAGCTGGGCCCAGACTGGCAGTGGGGCCCCAGGACCTTAGTGGAAGGTGGGGGGAACAAGGGGCAGCCCTACTTCGGGCCCCTCCAGAGATAAGTTAAAGTCCAAAGAGGATCCATTCGGAGGGACTGGCTTGGCAGGACTACCCCCTTTTGGGTAGGGGTTGGGGGTGCTCCTGGGCTGTGTGTCACTGGGGAGGGAAGGAGGAGGGCCTCAGCCTCCTTCCCAGAATAGAGGGGGTCTCTCAGGCTGGGCCCTCACAGGGCAGGCCTACCCTGACTCCCTGCCTCAGAGCCAGGCCACCCAGCACCCCTGCCCTGACCTGGAGGTCCACTGGGGATCAGAGGCCAAAGGTCAGCATGCTGGGCAGGGCTGGAATGTGTCATTACTTTGGCTGGCTCAGGACAGTGGTCCTCCTGGCAGTGGGGCGCATGAAGGAATGTATAGGGGTTACCACACTAGCACAGACCTCAGGCTCTGGAAGGGGCCCCAGGGCCTCCTGCACTGGATACAATGCCCCCCACGTGTGGGGGAAAAGCTGTCTTCTCTTTTTGCAAGCAACTTGGGAGCGAGGTGGGGGCTGGATACTCTGGGACAAAGGGAGTGTGAGGGAGGCTGAGCAGATGAGCCCCTGGCCAGGGACGGGGGGCAGAGGCCAACTGAGGTTTTTCCATCAGAACTGAGACTTAACTGAATAAAAGAGAGAGAGAGAAAGAGAGAGAGAGAGAGAGAGAGAGAGAGAGAGAAAGAAAGAACTAAAAAAGTAACGAGTGGCATGGGGACGGGTGGGAGGGCCGGTTACTTCTTGAACATGTCCTGCAGCGGCCCCGGCAGGTACTTGAGCACCGTGTCCAGGATGCTCTCCTCTTCCTCTTCCTCCTCCTCCCCGCAGCCCGCAGGGATGGCCTTCTTGGGCCGCGTCAGGCTCCCCTCGCAGGGCTGCTCCAGGGCTGCCTTCTCCTCGGCCTCCTTCTCTTCCTTCTTCTTCAGCCCGTACTGGGGGGTGGGGGGTGGACATGAGCATGAACGGGGCAAGGAGAGAGCTGGTCTCAGGGTCGTGCAGACTCATCTGGGGCAGCTCGTGAGGCCTCCCTCAGCCCCAGTCCTCTCATCTATAAAATGGGGGTGAGGGCATCTTCCTGTGGAATCGGGACTGTCCCCAGGAACACAGAGACGGTGCCTGGCGTTTCCTTCAAAATCGATACCTGCTCGTAGCAAGTTCTCTATCCTTTTGAAATCCCCCAAGATCTGAAATCTGGAAGTTCTCCCATGTATTTGGACCTGGGTTTTGGTGACGAAACTTGCCTTCAGCTGATGGAAGGCTACTTACAGCCTTGATTTAGTGCAGCGCCAATACCACACGTGTGTCGGTCTGTTTGGTACAGGGTGGCAGCCGCAAACCTGCCGACAGTGCCACCCAAGAGCAACAGGTGCTCAGGGCACTCTGGTACTTTTCAGAAATCCCCAGATTCTGGATTCTAAGCTTGTTTGGTCCCCAGGGTTTCAGGTGGGAGACTGCAGGCCCATGGCAGCAAACGTTAGGGAGCACCTCCTATGTGCTTTGTCTCAGGTGATCCCTGCTGGTCCTCGAGGGGGGCATTCCTGTGACACCCAGAAGAGGGAGGCTCAGAGAGCTGGGGGTCAGGGGAGCCCAAGGCCGGGGTTTGGGGTCGCGCCGGCCCCGCGCCCCCAGGCTGCGGGCGGGCAGGAGGCTAGGTCTGACCTTGTCGCGGATCTGCTGCCGGACCTTCTCGCGCTCGGCCTCCATGCGCGCGTGCTTGGCCTTGCGCTCCTCCTCCTGCTGCCGCAGTGCCTCCTGCCGCTCCTCCTCCTTCTTCTGCGCATCTGGGTCCTTCTCCTCCTCTCCCCCCAGCATTTTCCCCATGTCCTTGGTGGCCCCTGCGGGGGGGGGGGTGTTGGGAAGAGAGAGGGTGGGGTCAGAGGGCCCAGGGTTGGGGATAGTGGGGCCTGGTGTGCTGAAGCCCTCTCCCACCGAGGTCCAGCCCCTGGCTGAGGGGGCGGGGGCGGGGCTGTGGCCTCACCTCCGAGGGCCTGTTTCATGACGAAGTCCATGTCTACGACTCTGGTTAGCGTGCCCTAGCCCGCAGCCAACTTTGCATGCAGCGCTCCTGGCAGGCCTGGCTGGGGAGATGTGCCAACCTGCAAAAGAGGAGTTGGGGGTTAGATGAGACAGACCTCTGCACAGGCAGGGCGCTGGAGTTAGGCCGACGGTGGCCTCGTCCCGGTTCAGGCACGAGACTCCATCAGTCTGAGGCCAAGGCGCAACTTCCTGGTACTGCAAGGAAAGGGGTTATTTCTTAAGCACTTGCTATGTGCCAGGCACATATACGTACGTTGCCAAATGGCTCAGATTCCTATTTTAAAACCATCTTGATCATATTGCTTGAATTTGACGGAAGTCAGGAGTCTCGGAAAGAGCATCTCACTTGGATGCAGGCAGAGCAGGGACCCAATGCCACCCTCTCTCTCTTTGCCATGCGTGCTTCAGGCAAGCTCCTGAGCCTCCTTCAGGCTATTTCTACCTGTTAGACAGAAATGGCATTCACGGCCTTCCTTCCTTCCTCCCTTCCTTCCTTCCTTCCTTCCTTCCTTCCTTCCTTCCTTCCTTCCTTCCTTCCTTCCTTCCCTAGAGCTACTGTGGAGACTACAGAGCCTTCCCTCTGGGGCCACGGGATGGACCCCGATGTGGAGTGAGCGCGTGCTCAGGGCCCCAGGAATCAACTCGAGGGAAGAAATGAGGGCAGCTACTTGGATGAATGTATCCACACTTCTGAAATTAGACAAATGGAGAAATAAGTTATTCTTATTGCAGCATGCATGTTGGTTTTGTGTTTATAGCTTAATATTGATTTTTATTTTAAATTACACATGGGGGTGAGAGACGCGAGAATCTTCTTGGGGCTTAGAGCCCGTACAGTGCCAGGCACGGGGCCTTGTGAGCACACGGCTTATTTCAGTCCTCCTTCCCCCCTCCCTAAATCACCGGCTTGCAGTTTTTATTATATTTTTATTATTATTATTTTGCCTCAGAAGATTGTCTTCAAATAAAAGCTTAATGGGAATCTCAATTTGCAAAATATGTAAAAGTGGAACTGTTCAGTGGCGGGGGGCAGGGGTAGAGCCCTGGAGTCCCCTCACCCGTGGCCTTCTTATCCTATTTCCCCCACATCCCTAAGGATTTGGACCCCAGTGCTCGAATTCCTAGACATTTCCCTTTTATTTTAACCATTAGGTTTCACTGGTTCTGCCACAGGCAAAGGCACCATAAACACCCTTTGGGTGTAGACGGGACATCCGTGAGCTGTCCGAAGTGTGGTGTGGCTTGCTGGTGCACTGGGGCCGGGACGGCCCCCCAAGGCCTTTCATCCAACACAGTACTGGAGGCAGCTGTGCCAGCCACCACACCACCAGTGCTGTGTGAGTGTGGGGTCTTTATATTTTTCTAGAAGGAAAAAGGGGTCCTGTGAGATGGAGACAGAGAAGTCAGGCCAGGTATTGTAACCAGGTTGAGTTCAAGGTCACTGGCTGTCAGTCGATGATGGATTTTCCTCATTCCCTTCAAAATGAGAAAACATATTGTCAGGTTGAGATCTCTCCCTACATGGGGACCGAGGGTTTATTTGAGGATTTCTACATGATCAGACCACCTGATAGGTTGTTTTGAGGAGAGACAGTCATGATGGAGTAGAAAGAAAATCCCCTTGAACTTTGGCACCAGACATACCTGATCTGAAATCTGGCTCTAGTCCTCACTGGATCCCAGGGAAAGCGTCCCTTTGTTCCCTACGAAACGGGGACATATTAAGGCTACCTGTCTTTCTGCCGACGCCTGAAGGAGAAGACAAGGGACTGGTCAAGCACCTGGTGTGGGGCAGGAGCTCGTTACCAGTAGCCGGAGAACCCACGCTGACCCAGAACTCGAGTTTGAAGGCACAGCTCAGTCATTCAGTGGGTTTTTATTTGATTCAGAACAGTATAAAAAGACCGCATTTCTAAGAACAGGGGAAAAAAAAACCAATTTAAACATTGAATGATTTCAGGAACTATTGGGTTCCTCCTCCTGTGTTTATGCGCCGCTCAAGGAATCGCCAGGTGGCGGGAAAAGATGCAGGGCTCTAATTTGAGATGTTCCGGATTGGTCGACAGGGCACCTGGGCTTTATTTCCAGCCTCATCCCTAAACTGTTTCTCTGGCAAGTCTCTCCTGGACCAGACAATCCTTCCGAGCCCTCCCCCCACCCCAACCCCGCACTTCTGTTGGAGCAGTTCTGGAGCACGTGAACTGCCGGACACCCCGCCCTGTCCTTAAACCCCATCTCCTCCCTCGGTTCCGTGTCTCTGTCCTTTCCCCACGTCCTACCGCCCTCTCTCCTCCACTTCTCCCTCTCCCCCGCTTCTGCCCTCTCTTCTTCATCACTCTTCTGGGCAGACTTCTCTTTTCTCTCTTGTATCTTCGGTGAGGATGTTCTCAGGACCCTGACCTCAGCCTCTTCTCCCTCACCTTCCCCCAGGGAAAACCCACCCTTTCTAGTGGCTTTGACAACCGCTGATACTGATGACACCTGGAGATTTTATCTGGGCTCCAGACTCCTGTATTCATTCATCCAACAAGTATTAGCTGAGTGCCTGGTAGGTGGCCCGCAGTATATCAGGCTCTGGGGACATGCAGGGAGCAAGACAAAGTCCTGTCCTCATGCAGACTACATTCTGGGTGTGTATGTGGTGTGAGGGTATTTGTGTGTATAGGGAAACCTTTTTCTCGCACACCTCCACCTACGGCACTGCTTAGACTCAACATGCCGTCTCTCTGTCACCAAACCGGGTCCCTCCCCAGACTTCTCTGCTTCCATTTCTTCATTCAGCAAACGCTGTTGCCACCTGCACCCCAGTGTGTGGTGTATTTACTCAGGGGCTGAGGGGCCTCCTGTCCCGGGCCTGCTGGGACTACTTAGCCAAGCCCAGCCTTCCCCAGAGTTCTGTTGCCCAATCCCAGCATGATGCTCTCAGCTCCTAAGCAATGTCTTGTGCAGCCTGTCAAGGCTTCTGTAACCAATAGTTCAAGGCCCAGCACCCTCGACACCATCCTGCTCAGATGGTGGCTTTCCTCCCCCTTCCTGTGCTGCAGCAGCGTGGGGGCGGGGCCGGGGGCAGGGGCCCTGGGACCAGGCATACCTGACTTGGATCCTCAGCCTGCGCCTTCTTAGCTGTGTGAGCATGAGTAATTGACTTAACCTCTCTGGGCCTGGGTTTTCTTTATAAAGTGAGGATTATAATGCCACTTTGAAATGGTAGAAATAGTCTGGAAATGTGTTTGGTACATGATGGGAGCTCAGTCAGTGGTGGTGACTGTCACTACAAAACGACAAATGCCTGCTTGCGTGAACTCCTGTGACCTCCCCTCCTCCTGGCTCCTGGGGAAGAGGACCCCTCCTTCCCTCAGAAGCCCCCCCTTGCCTTCACTCCAGATTTTCTTCCTTTACACCCCCTCCTTGTTCCGCTTGTCCCTCCCTGTTCCTCACGCCTCTAACCTCTCCTCCACAGGCCTCATCCTTGCCCAGACCTCACCTGTCCCCTCACCCCTGTCCTCTACCTTCCTGGTGCAGGACTCTTCACTTGGTGTCTCTGCTTCCTCACATCACAGTCAAGCCCTGTAGCTCTGTGCACCCAGGGACTTGCTGCCTCTGCACCCCCCCCACTCAGACTCGCCAGAGGCTCCAAATGTCAGAGCCAGGAGTGTTTTCACAGCACCCCCCCCACCTCCTCCTTCCCTCTGTAGCATCAGAGGCTGAGGGGGCCCCTATCGGACCCCCTGCATCCCCCTTTTTTGGCCTTCTTCAGCCTTCTGAATTCCATGACACAGCACTTTTGTGGTCCTACCAGACAGGTCCTTTCTCTCACCTTTGCTGGCTCCTTGCCTTTAAAACAGTGATTTCAACCTTTTTCATCTCACGGCACAAAAAACTCCTGACTAAAATTCTGTGGTACACCAAAAATATACTTCTTGCCAATCTGACAGAAAATTAACTATGATTTTGATTCATTCACAGCTATTGTTGTGTTGGCTCTTGCCGGTTTTTTAAATTTTACAGTCTAAGGGAAAAGAGGTCAGTGCCCCTGATTGAACAGTCGGCCACTGCATGCTTTAAAATTCTCGCAGCGGACCAGCGTGCCTGCCTGCCATGGCACACAGGGTGCAGACGGATGCTTTTCAATGCAGCTGTTCATTAGGCAATCTCTCCCTGACTTCTCTTCCCACTGCCCCTTCCTCCCCCACTTCCTCACCTGGGAACCTCTCCTGACCCCTCTCTCCTCCGCCCACCTCTCTCCTCCTCCTCCCTTCACCCACTCTCCCCCCTAACCTGCACACTTAACTCTCTGCTGTATGTGGTGACGCGGACGGCCTCGGTTCCTCCTGTCCAAGGCATGCGCGCACCCTCGCCTGCCTCGCCTGCCCCTCTCCCTCCCGCATGCCTGGTTCCACTTGCCTCGACTGCAGACTCCAGACTCCGAGAACTCTTCATTTGTTCACTCACACACTCACTCACACTGCAGGTATTTTTTGAGCACCAGCGCTCCGCCAGGCATTGTTCTGGGTGCTGATGCTGTGGAAGAGCACGAGGAAGTCTCGGCGTTAGCTGTGAGGGCACGCAGTCGGCCGGGGAGGCAGACGTTAGGCCAAGACCACACAAGGAATGGGCGAGTTCCAGGTGCAGTGGGGAGCTGGGGGGAAGCCCGGAGGCTGTAGCAGCCTCACAGTGCTTTCCGCGTTCACACCCTCTGCTCTTCCACGGCAGCGGACGCCTAGGTCGGGGCCTCCAGGTTCTGGATTTGTGCATGAACTTCAGCTCTGTGTCTGTCCCAGCTCTCATCCATCCTCCCAGGGCCATCCGATTAATCTTCCTGAAGGGCAGATCTGCTCATGCATACACACCCTGCCACAGCTCCACAAAACCTTGTTAAACAGATCAGGTCCTTGTGCTGACCTTCAAGCCCCGCACAGTCTAGCACCTGCCTGCGTTGCCGTTCATCGCCACCCCTCGCAGGTGCCTCTGCTCGGCCGCACCCCAGAACATGGTATTCTTTCCAAACCCGGGCTACTCATTCATGCCCTTCCCACAGCCTGGAAACCTCTCAACCTCA